AGCAGTAGGATTTCCTGCTGTTTTTTTCAGTAGTGACCTAGAAGGAGGTTAATGATTCCAAAGAATGACTTTTCCCTTAGGGAAAATTTAATCTTCTGACCTTTTTCTCTATCTGTCCATTCCTTTTAAGTCACAGACCCCCTTCATTTAGCTTACATCAAGCTGTTTTATTTTCTTCAAAAACATGGTTGAAGTGATTGCTTTTGCTTTCATTTAACCCTTGAACTGGATGCATTTCCAAACTAAATCATTGCCCAGAATACGGAATTGCTTGTAAGCATTTCTTTCAGATTTCTATATTTGTCTTAAATGTGATTGTCAACCCTCAAAATCACTTTGACAACTGACTAACTTCGAAAATGCATGCCTTTAATGTACTCTCGCAATCATCTCCGAGAGTTACTTTACAAAAAGAACATGACAGGAATAAAGCAGCCATCGGGTTTTTTTTTGTTTCGTTTTTTTTCTTGGGTTCTATCAAAATGCTGATGGAACTAGAGTACCAGAGGAGATTTTATTTAAAGTATGTTCACCAAGACCATCATGCCGTTCTTTGGATTAAAATCGAGCTCATAAAAAGTATCAGCATCACACAGTCAAACTCTTGGAGTGCTTTGTTTTGTTTGAACTGCACAGACACTACTGAATCAAATTTGTTGTCAGAATACCATTAAACAAAAACGCAATTACGTTATTATTCTCCAAGGCGTTGACTCTCGGGTGCAAGGAGTTCTGGAGGGTAACTGGAAACAGAAAGTGCCTTGTGCTCAAAGCCGTCAACTTCCTTTTGCCGCGCAGCAGACATTGTTTTTGTCTGTATTGTATTACACACGGTTATTGCCAACATAAGAATTCATGAATATTCCCGCATTTTCAGAATGATAATTAACACTTGATTTTGACACGATGACAAACTCGTGCAGCACAGACACCCCGCCCGGGAACAAAAGAATCCCTGCGCTGAGGCCAGGGCCCATCCGGCCCCACACTCCCAACCTCGCTCAGAGCCCGGTGTGGGAGGCAGCACCCTGCACCTCATGGCAGCACTGGGGAATTTCTTCCCGACCCCAGCTGGCGATCAGCTCGTGCCCTGAAGTATGAGGATTGATAGCCCTTGTAATTTTTATTCTAGCTAGTGCGGCTGCAGATGCTGTACTTAATCAAATAAATGTCTAATACTTCGGTAAAGCTAAGTGAAGGCTAAATACTCCTTTCTCTTGGGAAAAATCCCGAGGAAGGAAAAAGTGCTGAGAAATTCCACCAGGAGAGGCACGCGGAGTTCCCACTGCTCTCTCCCCTCTCAGGGGATTGCACTGGCGCATGGGGATGGAAAAGATTTTGGGCCACGCAGGCCCAGCCCTGGCACAGGACCAGGCTCTGGGCTGGCTGTGCTCTGCTCTCTCTGCCCCTCTGTCCTGCTCCAGAAGCGGGAGCAGGAGAGACCCACAGCAGAACTTATCTGGATTTCTGTCAGATAAAGAAATTGTTTTAGAGGGGAAAACACGTTGCATAGGATGGTTTGGGTCATGGGTTTCTTGGATCTTCCTCCACAAGCCACTGTGTGAAGTGACAGCCACAGGGTCTATGGGGATGGGGAGACATGGTAGAGTTACTCTTCCTCCTCTCTTAGCTTTTGTTTCTCTTTTCTAATCTCTTCTTTCCTCCTTTTCTTCCTATTAAAGCATAATAACAGCCCCCAAAGCTGTTTTCCTCAATCTTCTGTAGCAAAAATAAATTCCACAACTCAGCTATATATTCCAGTGAGAAAAAAAAAAAAAAAAAAAAAAAAAAAAAAAAGAAAAACACCTCCATATATTCATTTATGTTTCCTGCTTATTTTTTCTGAAATGAAGCAGAACAGACAGGAACATCCGAGCTCTTCTGCATCAACTGAAATTTTATGTGGTCCTAAAACTCCTCATCCTCTTCGTGCTTCTAAATTAAATGATTTCTTCTAAGTCTACTTTCTAACTTGGTCCCATCTCCTGTCTCATTAATCATGTTTACTGCATTTCTCTGTGTTTCCTCGCTTTGCTATAACACAGTGACAAAAATACGGCAGGATGTCCAGAAATGCAACTTTTACTCATGAAATCATGCTGTAATATTTTATGTTTAGCCATCTTTTTGGTTTTTAATGTATCTGAGTGTCTCATCTGCTTTTGTATGTTTTCTAAGCTACTGCAATACGCTGGATGGCTTTTTTCAGTGAATGATGCTTAGATTTTCCCGGGCTAATTAATTGCCATCAGTTCTTGACAATATTTTTCCGCGCAAACTCCTCGGCATTATCTGTTTAATTTTGCTTGCCACCATGTTGCCATTCTATCTTAGTTCTCTGTCTTACTCTGGAATTTCTTTAGGTTTTTCCGAAATTCAGTTAACTCAATAAATGGCCAAGTGCTGTCATGAATTTTCCTGTTTAGATCAATGGGCGCTGGGTCTGAACACCAGCAAGCAAGCTGTGGCTGTAGCAGTGAAAACAAATGTTACCATCCTCATTCTGGAAGATGTTTAAGGTGGTTAATGAACACATTGGACAAACCCATCCTTATTGCTACTATTGATCCCAGGGGCAATTCGGAGTTAACCTCTCTGCTTGCATGACTGCTGATCCCTCTGCAGCTTGGGGAACCGTGCACAACTCTGGAACCTGCTGCTCCGGAGCCGAAGCCCTGGTTCTGCCACAGCTGTCCCTTCAATTCCAGGTAAGCTCCTTAAGCTCAGGTACAACCAGCTCATTTAGAAGCAGCGGGCATCTGCTAGCATTTATAAAATGCTTTCAAGGGGCACGATTCAAAGCAGCCTGATGTGTATATATAGTTTTCCATCCTCTAGTCAGTTTTTCAGCACAACTGGATTTTAATTCTAGAGCTGCTGTGGTTTTTCTTCAGAGAGATTTTACTATAAGCTTTTGGAAACACTAAATAAATTGTGTCTTCTGGTTCTACTTTATTGACTAGTTCATTAACTCTTTCCTGTAGTTCTAAGAGGGCTGAGAGAATTTCAGCAGGAGCACTACAGCTTTCCCTTGCTATCTGTGTGTCTCGGCATGTTATGTGCAGCGATTCTCTGAATAGTTTCCTAGTACTGAAGTAAGAGTCACTGGTTTATAATTCCCAGGATCATCATTAGCACCTTTCTAAGAGATGGGTACAACCTTGGCCATTCTCCAGCCCTCTGGTACGGTAGCTGTTTTTAATGATAAATTACATATTTTTGTTAGCACTCACTTGTGCCGGTCCTTGATTCTGTCAGAACTCTCGGATGAATACCATCTGGTCTGGCTGATTGACTGCACTGTAATTTCTCGGCTTGTTCCGTCACCTTTTCTGATACTCCTATTTCTGACAGCGTCTCACTTTCAACACCTAAAAAGAATGAAGCCTATGTAGTGTTCATCCTTTGTTAAAGAGCTGTTTAGCTCTCTTTTTCTTCTTTTTCTGTTTTCAATCGTCTAATGCAGCTGAGCGTAAGGAAAAAGAGGTTGACTCCAAATGTCTTTTTTGTTTGTCTGTTTATGAACATTATATATATATATATATATATATATATATATATATAAAGCAACAAAGCGAAAAGCAACAAACCTAAAGATGGCATTTGTTAGGGGATGGTAGTGTCAGAAGTCCAAAATTTCAAGCGCATTTTTATTTTCTGTTAACTGTGAATTGTACTTTGCAGTATGAGTCACTGTGGATTACTTGGGAAAACCTGCCAAGGGAAGCATATATAACATTTTGGGGAGGGATTTCTGTGTTATATGTTATGGCTGAGTGAAAAAATAAAGATGTATGTGTGTTACCCATTCTCCTAGAACCTAGAACAAAAAAAAAAGAAAGCAGAAGATGAACTTCTGTGATGGAATATCTCATTGAAAAACAAGCAAATAGAGAAAAACAAAGCTATTACCATACATGGAAATACAGCAAGAAAGAAAAGTATCATAATCAGTGTCAAGTGGTAGTATATTTCTCAGCTCTGCATATGTCTCTATGCACCTTCCCACTCTTCCCACATATACATACAAATCTCTGCTCTGTCTGCTTTTATTATTCACAGCGCTTTCTGTCTATTTTACACTATAAGCTCCTCAGGCAGAAACCTTGTATTTTCATAAGTCCATAATGTGATATACATGCCAGTCAAACTGTTTAAATAGTAGTAACGGAGGGTTTTTTCCTTTTCTTTTCATTTCCTTTTCTTTCGTTTTTTTTTTCTTCTTTTCTCTCTCTCTCCCTCTCTTTTTTTTTTTTTTTTAAACAAATGTTAAGTTAAAATCAAAGGTAATAATTAGTTTAAAACAGCCCCCAAAAAGTGACCTTTTGAGCCACAACCAAACCAGCCAACTTTATTGTGTCTTGAGGTCAAGGCTCCTATTTCACATGACTTCAGGGTCTTTATTTGCAGACTACCCTGCAGTAAACCCCACAGAAAGTTATGATCAAGTCGATTTTGCACTTCAGACAACTACTGAGGTACAGAAACAAGATTCCGCTCAATCTGAGATGAAAGTATTCCAGAACCAGGCTCAGGAATGCAACAGAAAATTCCTAAAAGAGAGGAAATTAAAATGCTGCAGCAAAAACAAACAAACAAACAAGGACCAAAAAAAAAAAAAAAAAATCCCCCCCAAAAAACAAAACCCAAACCCAAAACAAAGCAAAGCAAAACAAAACCCCTGGAAAAAACAGAAATTAAACCAGAAGGGTGGCTAATGCAGAGCAACGGCATTCAGTTCTTTTGAGTGGGCTGGATCCTTCAATTACAACTTTGTCACCACAGTTTGAAATCTATTAAAAGGATTTATGCTTTGCAGCTGACATTTAAAATTAGGGATTTATTGGACTAGGAATGAATATTTCTCCTGCAATTTTTTTTTTTTTTTTTAGATTGTATTTCAGAAACTATTTTTTTTTTTCTGTTTAATCTACTGTGGCAAGATTTTGTGGTGTTGGAACATTTGAAAAATACAAAGACAGAAATCATTTTATTCATTGTAAAGAGACTCCAATCCTGAGACTGCTCTGGAACTGCATCACACCCATTTTCACTGAGTACCCAATATTTCCCCCTTGTCCATGCTGTTGTTCTGGGGCAAGGGAAAGTGAGTGACATCTGATACTGCATAACTCATGCACCAATAACAAACAGAGAGTTTTAATTCAGGATTTTTTACCTCTTTTCTCTGCGGGCTTTTTAAATTTGCTGTTTGGAAATTTATACACATATTTCTGGGTATTGCTGGAAGCCTCTGAAAAGCTGTGTGTTTTTCCATTCTTGTGCGTTTATAGAGATGGATTAAACTTCACTGCAGCTGAATTTTTGAATTCTTGAACTGAAAATAATTATGGGAAAAGAAGGGTATTTTTCAACTTAGGAAAATGATTAATTTAAGACAGTTGTGTTCCTTTACCACTGTTCTAAACCAGTCTTCTCAAAAACAAAGAAATAAAGATTGTACAGCCATATTTACACAACTCCTGCCTAGCAGTTCTGTGTCAGAGCATCCACTCACAGCAGCAGGGAAGGAAGGCAGAGCTCTATCAGAAGTTTGAGTGTGATTTCTTAAACAAACTCACAAGCATCATATGTCAGTAGTGTCTGCAAGCCTCGTGTTGCTACCTGTACTGCTTCAGATGTGAAACTTAGCAGAGCCCACGTCACAGGTCACCTCTGCTAAGCATTGTGCATCCTCTGCAGCTGCAACATTGCTTTGCCAACTTAAACTGTTGCATGGTTCTTCTGCAGAGAGACTGAGAAAGGGAGCTGAGGTGGTCTGAAAATATTGTATGAATAGTATGTGCTGCCGGCTTCACTCTGCAGGGTGGGTGGCAGAGTGGGTTGAGCAGG